TCTCTCTCTCTCTTATTGGTTGACCAATACGAGGTTACGCAAATCTAAAATTTTTTTTTTCTATTAACAAATTTGTAAAAAATTTAAAAAAAAAACGCACGTACGAGTATTAGGTAATTTAAAACCTCAAACCCACCCACCCCCCCCCCCGGAAAAAAACAAAACAAAAATCTAACGTGAAATCCTTTTTTACTATCCTTTTGTTACGTCATTTATTTTTATTGTTAAAATTTGTTTAACTTTATAAACAAACAAACAAACAAACAATGAATGCCATGGAATATTTTTTTAAAAAAAAAACCTACGGCAAAATATTATATTACAAATTAATTTTTTTTTTTCGTCCGTTATTCCCTCCTCTCTCCCTTTTCGCCCCCTCTCCCCTTTACTCCCTTCCTTCCTCCTCCCCTTCCCCCACCAATATATTTTTAACGTTCATTAAAAACCTATAACGTTCTTTTGAAATAATAAATAAGATTTTATTAACTTTTGAGGAGCCTTATTATTAATTTTTTTTGTTAAGTCAGAATAATTTATCACAAAGTCGATAAACCTTTTTCGCACCTGCTACGAGACGACGACCTTTTAATAATAACTTCGAACGTATAAAATAATAGTAATAATAATAATAATGATAAAATTTCTTTTGTTACGAAAACGCATTCGTTTTTTAATAAATTAATTAATTTTTTTTTTTTAATAAATAATTTATTATTCGGTTATAATTAAATTATTAAAAAGCAGAAGAAATAAGCAGACGATTTTTTTTTTTTTAATTCAAAGGTAATATTAATAATAATAATGAAATAATTTTTTCTACCGATTTTAGTCACGTAAAAATAATTTTATATATATATAATTCGCTAATTGTAATCCATGTCGAAAAAAAAGGAAACCCTTTAATTAAGGCTATTAAGTCAAAATGAATTGCCTTTTCTTTTTTTTTTTTTTTGTTTTGTTGGATTTTTTTTTTTTTTCGGAGAGAATCGGAGAAAAAATAGAAAAAGAAAGAAAGAAAAAAGGTTGGCGGTAGTGGTGGTGGTGTTGGCGATGCCGTAAAAGAAACATTAAAAAGCTTTTAGCCGACAAGTTCGTAGACGAACGTGTGTGAAAAACCAATGTTAATCCATTCCATAGACAAAACAACAAAGAAAGTTTTTCCTTTTTTCCTTTTTTTTTTCCTTTTCCTTAAATATATATAATAAAATTCAATAAATTTTATTTTTTTATCTTTAATTATCAATTAACCTTTTTTTTATTATTATTTAATTCGTATTTATTTTCTATATGAAAAATTTATTATATAAAAATAAAAAATTTTTTCTACTAAAATGTTTTTTGTTAAACTGGGAGAAATGCATTTTCCACTAACCTCCCCCACTCTTCATCCAGGGAGAGCGTGGGACTCGGACGAAGCTACTACCCGACTAAAACTCCTGAAAGGGTTTTCTCGTGCTCTTTTCTTGGAAGGATGGGCGTTGGTGGGAGTACAACCTACATTTCATTTGAGAGACAGTTCCGAGATGTTACCATCGTTCCTACTTCTTCCGCAAAGTAAGCGAGTTTCCGGGGAAAGAGAGAGAGATGTTCGTGGGTCGCGAATCCCGTTGATTGTTCTTCTGTCTTCCTTTCACATTGCATTTATTTGGATCAAATACCCAGTTTTACCCTCTTGAACAAGGGTTGAGGCATCCCCAATACCTAAGTGCTAGGTCATTTGTCCCCTTATGTAGATACATGTCTGTTCTTCTTTGGACAAGCTGAAATTGAACTTCCACTCCCAGGATCTGAACCATGATTCTTAACTCGGTGACTTTTAGGCTGATTTTCCTCCTTTTTGAATTCAACCTGGCTACCTCGGGCTCCCCCAAGGCATCCTAGTTGAAGATTTACTCCTCTAATCCAATAACCCCGGCCTTAAAACATCCTCTATACCCAGCCTCCCTGTAGTTAGATTACAGCAGTACAACACCACCACTCCCACCTGAAATTGTCACTACATTCTTTACGTTTTTTTTTTTTTTTTTTATTTTGTAAATTTTTTATCATTACACGCGTACGTATAATAATTTTCTTTAAAAATTTTATTTACTCTATGACATTAAACATTAATTTAAATTTAAATTAAATACGTAATAAATGCTATTTTTTTTTTTTTTAATAAAAACACATCGTGTATGTTTTTTCACGTTAATTTGTTATTGTTAAAAACAAAAAAATTAAAATAAATAATAATAATAATTTTTCGTTAAATTTGGATTAATTAAGAATTAACGAGAGAAAGAAAAAAAAAATGAGTAAATGTCATGTTGAAAATGAAAATTTATTATTTAAAAAAAAAAAAAAAGAAAATTTCTTCTTGGAATCACGTAGAATTCAACGGTCAGGTTTGTTGTTTTAATCTTAAAATATTACCTCAACAATTTTTTTTTTTTTTTTTTAAACTTGGGAAAATCTTCCAAAACGGTTTTTTTTTTTTTTTTATTCTAGAAAAAAGAAAAACGTGTAAGATTTAAGATTTTTGTTTTAAAAGAAACACATTTTTTTTTTTACTATTTTTATTTAATAGGTAATTAATTACTCGTGGGGGGGTGGAGGAAGAAGGGAAGGAAGAGGGGGATGAGGGGGAAAAAGAGGGAGGGGGAAGGGTCGGACCCATAAACAAACCTTTTTTACCTTTGTTGAAAAAAAAACTCTTTAATAATAAAAAAAAAAAAAAAAGAGGAAAATTATTAATTTTTTCCTTCCTGAATTTTACGTTTAAATTCAAAACTAAGTTAAAATAATATAATAAAAAGTTTTTTTTTTTTTAAATTGTTTCCAACCACTTTGTATTATTATTATTATTATTATTATTATTATTATTATTATTTCCGAAAAATTTAAATTTTACTAAAAGTTATAAAAAAAAAAAGAAAATTTTTTTTTTTTTTATAACTTTTCATATTTCTTATATATCTTTTTTTTTTTTTTTGTTTTATTTTATTCTATATATTTTTTCATCAAGAAAAAAAAAAAAATAAAATTTTAAATAGGTAAAAAGAAAGAAAAGAGAGAGAGAGAGAGAGAGAGAGAGAAAGATATGAATTTTTTCTTTTTTTTTTTTATTAAATAAATGCGATTTTATATAATTGAAGTGGTAGGAAAAATTTAAATTTTGAAAAAAAATGTATAAAACTTTTGTAATTTTACTTTTTTACCTTTTTTCCTCCCCCCCCTTTCACAATTCTTTATTCTTTTGTCACTTTTAAATTAAACATTATTCCTCACGGTTTTAACCCCCCTCCCTCCCCAAAAAAAAAAAAAAGAAAAAAAAAAATTTTCCACACGGTTTAAAATTAAAAATAATACGTTACGCGATTCTCGCGCGAAAAATAAACAAAAAGAAAAGCCTTCGCGATTTGAAATTTTTTTTACCGGAAAAAAAATCACAGGAGGCCGCGTCGAAAGGTTTTATTTACAATCATGGAAATTAATTAATAATGATGTCATCAATAAAAAAATTTTTCGCGGTATTTTAATTATTTTAATATTAAAAAACGCGGGGAAAAAAAAGAGTGGGAGAGGAAAAAATGAGCGGAAAATTTTTGTTTTGTTTTAATTCAATTAAAAAAATATGTTTTTTCCTCCTTTTCTTGGTTTGATGACGTGTAATTATAATAATAATAATAATAATAAACATGAATGAAGATTTTCATTACGAATATGTTGTCGATGATAATGATTATAATGACAATGATTACGATGAGGTATTTATTTAAAAAACCGTTATTAAACCATAGTCTGTTTTTCCGTTAAAAAGAAAAACGCTTTTCTTTTCTTTATTAAAGGCTTTTAAGTGTATGGATTTGGATGGTTCTTCATTGAATAATTATAAAAATGATAAAAATGAAAAAAGTTTATTGAGTAAAGGATACGAATCGTTTATTATAATAAAAAATTATTTAAAAGAACAACGGATTATCGATAAAACGATGGAAGCGTTTAAAAAATCAAAATGCATGTAAGATTATACGTTTTTTTTGTTTTTTTCCACTCCCCCACTTCCCCCTCCCCTGAAAAATTAATAATGCTGATAAGAGAAGTAAATTAAATAAAAATCGTCAAGTGATAACGCGACAATCACATTTTTTAAAAATAATAATAAATAATTGTTGTGATAACTCCTCTTACCTAACGAGTATGAAAAAAACCGTTAAAAAATTTTTTGTTTTTTTTTCTGTTATTAACCGCCTCCCCTCCCCCCCGATAAAATACTCGGTAAATTATTCGATTCACGAAATATAAAAAAAAAACAACAGCAACAACATTAAAAAGCACTTAGATTCGAAAAAAGAAAAAAAAAAAACAAATAAAAAAAAAAAAAAAAGAAACTTCTGGAATCAAAATAGTTTTATAAAGATTTTATCAAGTTATTATTATTATTATTATTATTATTATCTGATAATAACGGAAAAGGCGTGAATAAAACTTTTTTTTCTCACCCGAAAAATTTATTCATTATTATTATTATTATTTATTTATCGTGTAAAAAATGAAAATCGATTTACTATGAATTATATTTAATAATTTTTTTTTTGGTATTACATCGTACAAACGAAAATAAAAAGAGTTAGGGGAGGGGAGGAAATAAAAAAAAATTTCTAGAACTTTCTTCGATTTTTAAACGTGATTTAATAATAATAATAATAATTTAGAATTTTTTAAAGTCCGAAATTAATTTTTTATTACGATGACGATGACGACGTCGACGACGACAGACTTTATTAATATAATTTAATTATAATGAGAGAGAGAGAGAGAGAGAATGAGGACGACTCGAGTAGGGGGGGGGGAAGGGAAAGAGAGAAAATTTGTTTTTTTTTCATAAACGAAAACTTAAATAATTCATACGTTTTGAAATTGGTCATTCTAAGAATTTCAAGAGTTTATTATACTCCCATTACTATTACTAAGAAATAATGATAATAATAAAAAAGGTCATTAACGAATTTAATAAAATATGAATTTCTTTTTTGTCCACCTTCCTTCCTCCCTCTTTTCCACCCCCTCCCCGTGGAAAATCATGTTTCATTTTTTTTTTTTATTTATTAATAATTTAAAGTGGTTTTTGTTGAAATTGCAAAATCAAGTTAAAAAAAATTATCGTGTTAGCTTAGATCATTTATTATTTATTTATAAATTTTTTACTCTGTCTTTTTTTTTCTCTTATCATTAACAAATTTATAAATAATATATTTACGAAAAGAAAATTATTTTATTTATTATCATTATTATTATCATTATCATTTTTTAAAAATATATTTTCGACTGGAGGAGTGAGAGAGAGAATGAAAAAAAAAGTTTTCGTATGTGACTTTTTTACAAATTTAATTATAATTTTCACCGAGATAGAAAAAAAAGGAAAACTAATTTCGCCCTCCCTTCTCCTCCTTCTCCTTACATCCCCCTCAAAAAAGGATTCATACGTAATCCAAAATAAATAATAATAATAATAATTTTAATAGAATCGTATGAATGAAGAGTATCCGGGTTTATTTTCTATTTAATTATTAGTTGGAATATGTGAGTGGGGGTGGGGGGTGAGTAAGAGTAAGGGTAAGGTCGAAAATTTAATTTTTTTGCATTATTATTATTATTATTATTATTATCATTACTAATTTTCTACACAAAACGTAATAAATAAATTTTGATCGTTTGAAAAAGATAAATTGTAAATAAAAGTAATTATTATTATTAAGTTTTTATTTATTTATTTATTTTTTTTTTATCATTAAAAATAAAAAGCGGAGTGAGGGGGCAGAAAAGAAAGATAGAGTAAAACAGTAGCAGTAAGAACGATTTTAATTTATATAAAAAAATAAAAATAAAAAAGTTTTTTATTCAAATAATTCTTCCCCTTTAAAATCTAAACATAAAATCTGTTTTCAACAATTTTCGATTTAGATAATAATCTGACCTTTTATCTTGTTTTGAAAACATTGTTTTATTGATAAAATTTTCATATGGTTTATTTTCTCTATGGAAAAACAAAAGCAAAACAAAAAAAACTAATAATGAAGATGAGAAAGACAAAAAATTAGGCTTGCATTTTTTTTATTATTATTTTTAACTATTAATTATTATTATTACAATTATTATTATTATTATTATTATTATTATTATTATTATTATTATTATTATTATTATTATTATTATTATTTAAAGAGTAACAAGAAGAATGATGCTATAATTATCTTTCACAACAACAACAAAAAAACCCCGCGAATCCGTTAAAAAAAACCAAAAAAAATAATTTTGTTTTCGAAACGTGTCGTTTTCCGTTAAATTTCCCGCCTTTTTTTTCTCAAGTGATGCCAACCTATAAATTTTGTTTTTTTTTTTTTTGTTAAATCATGTTTTGCAACTCTGACAGTAACATTAACGATTTTAATTTAAGTTTTTAACGCGAGTTTTTTTTTTTAAAAGAAAAATAAAATAAAATGGCGGATCGTTTTTTTTTTCTCAACGTATTTACGTAATAATGAGAAAAAAGGAGGAGAGAAAGGGGGCAGAGGCGGTGGGAGAGGGGAGGGGGGAAGAAAAGTAAAGTATAACGTTTCAATTTTTTAATCTTCTTTACAAGTTATATTAAAAAATTAAATACCTCTCTATAATATTTTATATATATAAATGAAAGAAAAAAAAAAGATGGAGTTTATCTGTTTTTTTTTTTTTTTTATTTACTCTATGACGCTTTTCAAAATTAAATTAAATTTTCTATTTTTAATTTTATATTACTATTATTATTATTTTTTTGTTGTAAATTTTATTAAAAATTTTATAATTCTTTTAAAAATTAATAATTATAATAAAATACTAAAAATTAAAAAAAAATATGAATTATTATTATTATTTTTTTTTTTATTGATTTTCAATTATTTATAATAATAATAATAATTATATTTGAGAATATTTGTTTAAATAACAAAATGGGTTTTAATTTAATAAATAAATAAAAAAAACTTTGCGTAACAAATATAAAATGTTTATTTTTAAAAAATTAAATTATTAACTTATTTACATAAGTCGTTTAAAAAAATGAGAGAGGGGTGGAGAGTGAAAGGGGAAAGAGAGGGGAGAGAGAGATTTTTCACGGTTCAAAATATAAAATATAGACATAATTTTTTTTTTTTTTTTTCAAGAGGTTAAATAATTTACAATAAATAAAATTTATTTATTTTTTTTTTCAAAAGGCAAAGGTGAGATGAAAAAACAAATAAATTTAAGGGGGAAAAAAAAAAATTTATTTTATATTATTATTATTATTATCATTATTATTATTATTATCAGTATTTTTTTTTTTTTGGTATGTCAGAAACAATTCACACCGTTAAGTGGTTGGAGAAAAAACAATTTTTGAAACGTTGAACTTAAATAACGATGCACATAACGTTCAATTCCAGAGTTTTACTTGTTTGTTTGTTATTACTATTATTATTATTATTATTATTATTATTATTTCTTTCTCACGCGATTACTTTTGTGCAGGCAGGAGTTTGCGGTTGCAATGTGCGATATAAAATCCATTCCAGGTTTTTTTTTTTTTATATCGAATCCAAAGTTCAAATTATTGAGTCCACGTAAAATAAAAATAAAAAATTTTTTTTGTCCTTCGTGACATTTTCCTCCTGATTTTCGATCGGGAATTTTCTGGAAGCTTTTTTTATTGCTGCATTTAATGGTTAACACACGTTATGAAAAGGAAATAGTAGGTCTTGATCTTTGTTATCTGAAAATCTTTTTTTTTTTTTTTTTTAATTTATGCTTTTTTTGCAGTTATCAACTACATCCGGTTTGTTACTCTATTGCATCTCCATCGTATTATTTTGTGATTTGTTTGATTTTACCACCCCTAACAAATAAATACACCCCTAATAAATATTTCATTTTGAGCATAGAGACTAAAAATACATTTTGATAAGATTAAATCTCGGAAAATTGTTTTATTTTTCTTCTTATCATCTGTCCGTGAAATTTAATTCTTTGAATTATGATAAGAATTTCCCGTGTTTCAATTCCATAGAGTAATTTTTTTTTTCCTTTTGTAGTGTTGATTGCGCGTGTTGTAAATTTTTTAACGATTTCAATCGTGGTTTTAGATGTATTAATGATTTTTTCGTGGTTCTAGAAAAGAGATATATAATTTTAAATTTAAAACGTATTAAACTTGTCAAGAAAGATTTCATGAGGATTTTATTTTTTACTTTTATTTATTTATTATTATTTCAATTTTTATTAAAACGTCGCCATTTTTTTTTATTAAGAAAACTTTTTGTTGTCGTTTTTCTTTTTATATTATTGTTTTGGCATTAAGTTACTCGTTTTTTTATTTGTCCTTTTTTTTTTATATAAATGAAAGTTTAAACTTTGTACTTATTGGTTTTCTACACTTGAAACATGGTTTCGACATTAATGGCTTGGAAAATCATCACCTGCCCTTTTTTTTTCAAAAAAAAAAACCATGCTTCACTTTCTTTTTTTTTTTTTTGAATAAGCGGATTTTTCTGCATTGAATTTCCAAAGTTTTCCTTTTCCTTTCCTTTTTCTTTCCTTTTTCTTTACATTTTTTTTTATTTTTATTTTTATACCATATAAAGCAGTCGAATTTTCAATTTTAACTTTTTCTCTTTTCTTTTTGAAAAAAAAGAGAGAAAGAGAAAGAAGGAGAAAGAGAGAGAGAGAGAGAGCACTTTGACTGAATTAAAAAAGGAAACTGTTATTAGTCTTCAACACAATGGGAAAAAAAAAAAATTTTTTTTTTATTCTTAATTTTCCTTTTTACGGCTTATTTTTATAAAAAAAAATATTTTATCCACGAGTCAATCGGTTTTCTTTAATTCAATTTTTTCCTTTTATTTTTTTTTTGTGTCGCATTTGGTGCCAACATTAGAAAAAAAAAAAAATTTAAAAATCAAGTCAAGTTGTTATTCAATGGTTTGCCACCACGTTTTAAAAAATAAAAATT